AGTCTCAAGTTGTATGTTGCAGCTTGTTTTTTTTATTTCTTCTGAAACGGTGAGAATCTTGAGATCCCGGTGGAGTTGGTAATTTGTGACATAATACGGTGAATTTACAATCATCCACAGAGTTTTTGATTGGACTCATATGAAATGACGCTCAAAAAATGGAAAAGAAATTTTCTTCTATAAAAATATCTTAAATCTGTTTGCAGCTCTCAAGAAAAAAATTCTAGAATATCTATTTTTTTTTTGCAAGTAAATTTATTTGCAGCGGACGCAAAGTACCTTTTCAACCAACAAAAACAATGAAAAATATTTCTTGTGATTGTTCTTGTGAGCTGCAAACAGCCCTTAAAGCATGAATCATATTTTTAACCGACAAAAAGGAGGAGGTTATCAGTTCGTCGGAATATTTTTTTTTTTTTTTTATGTGTGTTACCGCATAACTTTGGACCACGTCAACCGATTTCGATACGATGGACCGCATCATACCAATCTGGTTCAGATCCGATCAGTGGATCATGAGATATATATATATATATATTTATATGAGAATTGAAGTCGGTTTTTTATGCTAAAAATTACTTTTTATAAAAAAGTAACCAAAAAAATTTTAACTTTAAAAGCCTTGCTTCTGCTCCCCACTGTTTATGTAGTCGTGCCGTTGAATGAATTTTTTGCTTTGCGCTGATTTTTTTTTTTTTTAATTAGACAAAAACTATTACAAGAATTTTTATTCAGAACGTGATTTGTGTTTAATAAATTTTTGCTGCTATTAGCGCATACTCCTACATTCATATTAATGCATTTTAAGCATTCACCACGCAATTACGATGAGCTCACAAGCATTTTCCGTTGCTTTCGCCATCGCTTGGCAGCCGCAGCCGCAGCCCATGACTCGCCGTTACAACCACCGCTCCAACCAAATTCTGCCTTATACCCTGTACTTCCACAAAACGCTCGCTATTTCTATTTGTGTAAAATATTAGCGGTAATTTTTTTGTTCAATACTCCAACAATAATTCGTAATGCTTATTGCGGCCATTGGGTTGTATAGTATAGCGGTTTTTGCTCTGCTGTATTTTTGTACTATTTCTTTAGCCAGCTGCTCGTGTTGTATGTAGTATGTAATTTATTGACCACAGCACCTACTACCTGGGCAGTACAACAGGTGCCTGTATTTGTAAATACTTATTTGTGTATTTGTACATATGAGTATATGTCCACGTTTTCCTTTTTTTCTTCCAAACCCATCATTTCATCGCTCGCCGTCTTTCACACTTTTTGTGGCAATGGAATTTGGGTTAACGCGTTTCAATTTTACAATTAACGACTCAGCGCCAGTGGAGAATGCGAAAGAAAAGAATAATGTTCAGGAAGCAGCAGGTAGGTGTATGTATGGCCAAAAAGTTTTGAGCTTTTTAGCAAACTGAAATATTTGTTCTCATTATTTGCCATCAGTTTTTTTTATGCTGTAACGCCTTCTGTTGTTGTAAAATTATTAGTCTATTTTGTATCGTTAAGAGCTACTCAATTAATAATTGGTATAATTGAAATCTTCCGCCAAAAAATTAAATTTGAACAAATTGCAAGTTTAGATTAATTTTTAGTAGACTCCCTACTAATGGGAATGCAAAACTTCGTTCACATCCAAGCTCACGTGGATGATGTTTTTGCATTGTCATCTGTTGAATTTCTCAGAGAGGTCTGTGTTAAGATGCAGAGAATCCCGAATAAGATTGATAAATGGTGCACTTTGCATCAGTGGCGGAAAAATTTGAGTTGAGTTTTATTTTTAAAGTGGACAAATAAAGAAAATTAAAATTATCTATTAAAATTACTCAAATTTCAGTTGTCATGGCAACAGTAGCTTTTCATAAAATCACCAATATTTTTGCCCAGGGACCGTAACTGCTAAAACTTTTATTAAAAAAAAATCGCTCTTTAAGAATTATTTTTTGACTTTTATTTAATTACTCCTTAAATAACTGTTATTTCTGAATTTTATTTTATATATCCACTATAACAATTTTTTTATATTTTTTTCTAAATAATTTGCAAATAACAGTTATTTTTGATTTTTAAATTATATGTCTTGGATAACAGCTATCGAAGACTTTCATTTATAAAAGTCATAAATAAAAGACAGTCACTTACCTTTATTAGTTAACACTTATAAAAGTCATTTGTATAAGTGGCAGTAAACGTTTATTTCCCAACACCTTCTTAACTGCGAAAAATGTTAATGACTTTTATAAAACATTTCAAAGTCGGTGACTGATTTATATTGATGACTTTTTAAAGTAACAGTAAGACATATAATATAAAAATCAAAGATAATTGTTATTTTGGATTTATAATATAAAAATCAAAAATAATTGTTATTTATTTTAATTTTGCATAAAAATTGCAAATAAAAATTTATTTTTAAATTTAAGTCTCGGTGAAAAAATAAATCGATTGATATGTATCACTTAGTTGTAGAACATTTCCTTCATAGTGAATTTTTCCATGACAGTTTTCATCGATAACTCTTATGTTCCGTCCCTGTTTTTGCCAGTTTCACAGCGATCCAGTAGCGCATTTCAAGGTCATTGAGCACCTTGTATTGGTTGCAGTAGAAAACTGAAAGTTGGTATAGATATTGCAAATATCAAAAGGAAAAAAACTAAGAGGTGCCGCGTTTTCTAGGATGAATTTTTTTCCACACAAAAACTGGACCACTCTAATGTACATGTTATTCTAGTCAGACCACTCGTCACGAACTCTGCTGTAGTATGGTGGCACAAAACCACAATACTAATAGTAGCTTGACTCTCCGATGGAAATCCAGTGCTTGTCAATTTTTTTTTTTTTTGTCTAAGTCGTGTTTATTTTTAACTCTTTACTATCCACACCTCTCACGCAAGCTTAAATTTAACAAAATTAATTGTCTACAATTTTTCAACTTCACTTTCAATATGAACAAATTTTATTTACGGGTAAATATGTAGGTGCGTTCAATTACAACTGTGACGGATGGCATCAGTTTTGCTTTTACTGATTTCGGTAGAAAGAATTGAAATTTCACTTTAACTGAGCGTCTTAGATAAACTTTTTTAAAAACTTTTTTTAAAACTTACACACACACATAAAAGATGATCAAGCCGTTTTAAATTAAGACAGATTTTCATTATTGAACTCAATCATAAATTTACAAAATAAAAAAAAAAATTAATTGATTTGTTATGCTTTCAAATCGATTGCAATGCTAATGAAACTAGCCTAGTTTTTCATTATAAATTATGTCGTGGTAGAGATTACATAAAGCGAAACAAAGTCGATATTCGTCTATTAAAATTCAGAAAGAGGTGCATATCCGCGACGCTTGTAGGAAATGTGTTTTTTGTTTAAAATATTCGCATATTTTTCTCTCAAATGCGTATAACAGATTNAAAAGCGAAACAAAGTCGATATTCGTCTATTAAAATTCAGAAAGAGGTGCATATCTGCGATGCTGGTAGGAAATGTGTTTTTTGTTTAAAATATTCGCATATTTTTCTCTCAAATGCGTATAACAGATTGAAAGTAAAACCAGGATATAAATTTCTGGTTAATTAAGAGCTGGACATAATTTTTTGGAAATCAAATAACTCATGCTAATCTAAATCTTCTTGCACAGCCTAGCCAGGATGTTCAAACTTCGAAATACTCGTCTGCCTAAGGCGCCAGGATGGCATACTCCGGAGAATACTTTGAAAAACTAGAAATATAAAATTGGCACAGAAAAGTTGGATAAGATCTTAACTCATTAAAAATTGAATAAAAAATATGAACCTCTTATTTTTTATGGGCCAGTTTAAAAAAAAAACAAATATTTATGTCTAGTCTTAAATACGGGTATATCCAGGTTTTTAATTAACAAAAATATATGTCCTCTATTGCAAGTACCCAAAAATGTATGTGCAGTTTTGAAAATGCCGAAAATGTTTGTCCACTTTTTCATTTGCTAAAACCTGGACATCAGTTTTTAAATTACCGTACAGTTTTCAAAATAACGAAAATTTATGTCCAATTCTTAATTTGTTAAAAACTGATGTTGAGTTTTTACTTATCAAAATGTCATGTTTACTTTTATAATACCAAAAATTATGCCAATTGCTACAAATTGATGTCCAGTTTTAAATTTACTGGGAACTTGTATTTTTGAATAATTAAAAAGTCATGTGCAGTTTTTCGACTACAAAAAATGTATGACCACTTTCGAGATTGCAAAAGGGTATACCCTGTTGTGTTTAAATTACATAAATTGAATACCAGTTTTCAATTTACCGAAATTTTTTCCAGGTTTTAAATTAATAAAAAATCATGTTCACTTTTATGACTACGAAAAATGTATGACCCATTTCTAAATAGACAAAAGTGTATTACCATAAATTGATTTCCAGTTTTCAATTCAAAGTTTTTTGTCCTGGATGTAAATCTTTAGAAAATCATGTCCACGTGTTACATTTCAAAAAAAAAAAACGATGTCCAAGGGCCAAAAATTTATGTCCGGTTTTTACTTAAAAAAAAAAAATGAAACTTTCAAAAATACGAAATTTTTGGCTTTCTAGTTAAGCAATTTAAAACTTTTTTGTTTGTCTAGAATTTTTAAAATTTCAGTATCTTTTGTTGGAAAGACGAAGTTAATTATTTCATAAAATATAATTTTTTTGTATCCAAACATACATATTGATTTGTGTTTTTTAACTATTTTTATGTATGTTAATATATATTTACATATACTTATACATACATGTAGACTTAAATATTTATGTACATACGTATGAATTTATTTCTAATTCTATTTCTAACTCACCATCAATTTCCGTAGCTTTCCGTTCATAAAATAACATCCAGAGAGCTGCTGACAGTTTTTTTTTTTTTATAATTTTAATAATTTCGTTTTTTTTTTTTGCAAAATGCTTTGTTGTCTGTAGCCTTCGCTAATTTCTATTTTTTTAATTTCTCGATTTTGTTTTTTGTTTTATGGCCACTTTTTTTAAGATACTACACTTATTGGCTTAAAACTGATTAGCCATACATAGCAGCTGTTGTGAAATTGTGAAAAAACAAAATTTTTAATTGGTAACTTCTTTTAGCAAACGAAATTTCAGCATTCGAGAATCCATTGAAAAAAGTAACACACTCGTGCACTCAACGACATGCCAACAACAGCAGCAAACAAACATTTTACAACAGAAAAAAAGTGCAGTGCAGTGCAGCTCTCTCTATCATTGCGTTCGATGCTTGAAAAATACCACAAAAAACCGCACGTCTTTTGCATGCTCTAAAGCATACATTTATAAATATATACTTATATAATTTGCTACTATACTCATATATATACAAATGTATGCAAAGTGTGTAAGAATGTCCATAAATTATATAAATTATTCATGCGACAAGTTTTGCTTTCTTAATTTGTTTGACGGCCATTAGCCGCTAGCTGGCCATTTGAATTATTATTGAACTAAAAACACTGCTTCTCGTATTTTTTTTTTGTTTTGCATGGCACTAGCATTGGCACCACTAGCCGCCACATCGGCAGCAATGGCAGCAGCGGCAGCAACACCACTCCCTGACCACCTTTCAATACATCAGCAGGCGACCATCAACGCTTTTTTTTCCTTTTACTGGTACTTCTATTGTATTTTATTTCTTATTTCAACTTTATTCCTTATTTTAGTTTTATTTCTCCTATTTCTTTTATAGTGATTTTAAGCCGATAATAACGTAAAAAGGTATTGAGGAATGGCATATACACAGAATAGATTTGACATGGCGGCGGTTGTGGTACATAGCGTGGCAGGTAAAGCACAGCAGCAGGCGAATATGGATTATAGCAGAGGGAATGAATAATTCAAAGTGAAAAAATTATGTACATACGTATTTATACAACATTTTTTTGTGTTTGGTTATTCAATTTTTGTGCATTTTGTTGGTATAATAGATCTCAAATTTCTATCAGTTAATACTGAAAATTGAGATTTCGAATTTTGTGGAATTCACCACGACGCTGTATCTCATAGCAAGGAAAGATGAGTGAGTTAGTGCTTCCAAGAAGAAATCGACGTGCAATATTATGCAGATGTCCGTAAATATGTATCGTTAAATGTAGATATGTACATAAATGAGAGCAGCCCGGCTTAGAAATCTTCAAATCAAGAAAACTAAGTAATCAGTAATAATGAAATATATTCGACTTATCCCTCCTAAGTCGTTAGTAATTTCGATTTGAATGATTTCTTTTCAACTGAGCAACGCTTCTAAATTGAAGCTTTCAGGCAAGGCTTTTTTATTTAATACTTAGGGTAATCGCTTTGGAGGCTATGTTAGATCTTCAAATAGGCTTGTTATTCGAAGAGAGTTGAAAAGGTGTATTTCGAGTAGTGGATGATGAATTCAATCGTAGTAGGCGGGTTGGTGCGTGTCTGAGCTCTACTTGAATTTCCACTCATGTATTATTTCGTCAAAACCTTTTTTGAGGACTTTTTAAGCTGTATACTTTTTAGTTTTCCTGATCATTTTGTATACTACTGCGAAAACTAACTACATAAGTACATACTTATATGTTTGTAATAAAAAATAAATAGAAAGCTAAATAAACTTATTATTAACCAATTTTCGATTACACACATTTACAAAACAAAATGTTAGATAAAACCCTAAAGGAAAAATAATTTTGGTTTTTTGAAAAAAATGAAAGGAACTGAGCTTAAGAAAATATGTATTTTTTAGAAAAATTACGTTTTTAAGATTCTATGTCTCAAGATCATAATATAATTTCTCTACAATTTTTGCAACGCCAATTAAGGGTTTTTAAAGAAAAAATGAGTATTATTTCTTAAATCTCTAATACAGTTTTTGAGAAAAACTTAAAAAAAGAAATGAAGTTGTGAAGAGCGCCTTTTTAAATAATTCTTTTGAGAAACCATTTTAGTTTTTAGGAATTTTTTTCCTTCCTGTAAAACATTTTTTTTTTAAGATAAATTTTGTATTAATAATTTTTTGAAACAATTTTTCACCTTTTTTATCTTAATCATCAAAAAAAAAATTAAAATTTTAATTAAAACTTCAATTCTCTTAGATAACATGTAGGAAAAATGTTGTATTGGTTTTCAAAAAATTTAAATTTTTATGAACTAAAATTTAAATGAACTGCAATGAAAAGTATTTAAAAAGAAAACTCATTTTAAAAAATCGTAAAATGTTAACGTTTTTTATCCAATTCTTTTGAGAAACCATTTTATTTTTTAGGAATTTTTTCCTCTCCTGTAAAACATTTTTTTTTGTTAAAGATAAATTTTTATTAATACATTTTTGAAACAATTTTTCCGCAATCAAAAGTATTTTAAAAATAAAACTCATTTTAAAATATCGTAAAATGTTAACGTTTTTTGTCTAAACATTTTCAACACTTCTCATTTTTAAAGGGGATTTAAAAAATAGAACGCAAAAAGATCTTGCCAAGTCAAATTTCGTTAGGAAAAACTGAAGATACAAAAAAAAACCAATTTTGGAAATAATTTTTTCATAGAGCTTTCTTTAATTAACGACGAAATTTTTTATTATTTAGAGAAAAATTTTAGGAAAAAAAGTTTTGAAAACAATTTTGCTATTGCTAATTTCATTACAAATCTTGCAGCTTTTAGGAAGAAATAAACTGGAAAAAAGTATTTTTAGAAAAAATTTATTTTTCAACGATTTTCTTGTTGTATCGCTTTTGTAAATTTCTTCTTAAACTCTAATTTAGTTTTATTCATGACTATGGTAAAACAAAATTTTCTGAATCGATAAAATAGTGGACAATATTATTTTTTGGGTAAATCGGACCATAATTTTTTTGGTTGTAATAAAATATCAAAAAAAAAAATACAATAGTTAGATATTCGTTCATCTCTACAAAACCCAATTTTTTACACAATTTTTTGAAATACTTTTCAAAGAAAAATTTAATTAAAATCATATTTTTGATTTGATAAAACGTCTGCTTGTCATAGAAACAATTTTTAGCAGAACATTTGCGATTAGTTAAATTTTTTTAACTGATTAAACAACATAATTTTATTTTGTTGATTTGATAAAACATTAAAATTTGTATTTTTACTTTTTTTGATTTGATAAAACATATTTAATATATATTTTTTTTTGATTTGATAAAGCTTAAACTTTTTTACTTTACGTAACCTTACTTTACTTGCTTTACATCATAAATTTTTTTGTTTGATTTGATAAAATATTAAAATTTTTATTTTTGGTTCTTTTGATTTGATAAAACAAATTTAAATTTAAAGCTTAAACTTTTTTACTTTACGTAACTTTATTTTACTTTACCTTTTGCCTATGTTTAAAATATCTTCAAAACAAATATTTATGAAATAAATTTCTTGAAACAATTTGAAACAAAAAATTTATAAAGGTAGTTATTTCTGTTAAAATATTACTGGGTTGATTTCTTTATTGTTTTAATTTTTTTTTGTTTTAAAGCTCACCTGAAAATATTTCTGAAAATATAGAAAGCAAAAACCAACAAAGTTTTAGGATTTCAGATTTAAGAAAAAAGTAATTTGTTTCTAAAAAATTAAAAAAAAATTTCTTTAAAATTAAAGTTTCACTAACCAATTTTTATTCAAGTTTTATCTTTCAACCACATTTTTTTCTTAAATTTATTTTAGTAAAATTCTACCTTAAAAAAAAAATTTATAAAAAGTTTAATTTTGCAGAAAAAAATGTCTTAAATTTTTTGAGCGAATTATTATTTTTTAATTAAAATCCTAAAATGGTTTTCTTTAGAACAAAAACTCTAAATATCTATATCATAAAGATTTTTTTAGAATTCTACTAATCGAAGTGTAATCAAAACCATTACAAGTTTTTAACACTCATTAAAGTTTCGACTTAAAGGAAATGAAAACTCTAAAAAGCAGTAAATTAACAACACTCATCACAATTTCGCACATTCACACGGCATCGATTACAGTGCTACATACTTATGTGAATAGACAGAGCAAGTGCAAGTTAGCGGCTGGCCGCCATCCTCCACCTGCAGCCGCACCCACACCCATAACCATAGCAAAAAAGTTTCAGTAACAACGCTGCATGAAGTGGATGAGCTGAGGATTTTCGTGGCTTAAATTGTTGTGCCAATACCAGCACTACATACATACATACATATGTAGGTACATATGTGCTGTGCCAGTTGCCACATATCTACTGCTTGTACCCATACATATGTACATATGTACATGCAAACAAATTTATGTGCATATTTCTACCACATATCGGCCACTTTATTACGGCACTGCATTCGCGCTAAACCGCACCGCCGTTCGCCTGTGTACACTGCCATGCACCACCATGCACTCCTATTGCCTGCTGCCACTTGTCCGATCCCCCCTCGGCGAGTCACTTGCACATTTGCAGCACAACCTCTAATTGCAAAATACTTTATGCCTTTGCATAATTTTTGCTTTTGAACTCTATGCCACTCCTTCGCCTTGTTCTTTGTCTTCTACTTCTACTTCTTCTGGTTCTTATGCTCAATAAGCTTTGCTACTTTACTTTCATGGTATTTGTCTGGATTTATTATTATTTTTTTTTTTTTAGAGTTTTCCTTTTTCCTATTTCTTTGTGCAAAATGGAGTTGCTGCTGTTGAGTGCAATTTTCTATAGTTTTTTTTTTTTTTGAAGAGCGTTGGGCTTAACGCTGAGCCTGGAGTCGAGTCATTTGAATCATTATTTGTATTAAATTTATTTCACAAAGAAAATCCACTACGGTTTATTTGAAATTTGAAAGCGATTTGAATTGTTCAGCGCAAACGAAAGACTCACGAAACGAACGTGCGTTCAAATATTTGCCAAAGGCAAACGCGTACCAACTGCACGTTTACTGCAGCATTCGCTATCGTAAAAATTTCACTTTATACGCGCGCAGACTCTTGCGTTTTTCACAGTTTTTTTTTTTTATATATTTTTTTCAGTTTTTTCTGCTTTATTTTTCGTATCCCTATACGCCGCAATCGGATTAAATCAGTTATTTTTGCTTTGTTCTTTCTTCAACAGATTTATTAATTCTATATATGCACACAGTATCAAATCGGCTTCAAAATATTATAAATTATACACAACGCTGTGCTTAACGAATAGCCCACAGAGTGCCAGTTCACTAAACAAATCAGGTATTTAGAGTCAATGAAGCATTGCAAAATCTCTTAGTTATTTCTTATTTTCATAGCAGTTAGTTATGTAGGTAGCACTAAATATCTTATCCGTTTACTGTACCATACCACACGAAGGCCAAACACACACTAAAACTTGCTTGGGAAAAATCTGAATTACCAACCAAATGGTGAACCAGCAAAGAGACAAGTAGCCGGCCGACAAGCCCAACACCAAAAGTACCAAGCAACGGCGGCGGCAACGACCAAGAAACCACGAAACTCAGCAGCAGTTAGTCAGCCAGCCAGCCAGCCAAGTCAAGTCAAGCCGAAACGAAAAAACGGGCTACAAGGCGCGCGAAAACAAAAACAAAATTGTGCTATGCAGACACACACATACACGCGTACCTGTCCATGTGTCAGCAAGTATGGGTCTGTTGATTTACTTATGGGTTTGTGTGTGTGCAAAGGCACTCTTCTGTTTTCCTACTTTGCTTTCGCCTTCGTCTTTTCGCCTTTCGACTTTAACGAGTGCGAGTTTGAAGTTAGTATAGCCACTTTGTTTGAATTTAAATTTAAAAAAAAAAAAGCAAAATTTGAATGTAGAGTTTTTGTTTGTTAGGGGTTAACTTACGATGTCTGCCACTCTCCTGGAAGCAGAACGGCACTCTTAAGCAAGGATCATACGATTTGTATATTTTAGCAGTAGCACAGTGTGGTATTACCGAGTCGTAAGGCGCGGACGCGGGCCGCCACGAAGTTACGCAAATTTAATGTTTGAAAGAGCAATAATGTCAACGGATTTTATTTCGCTTTTGAAAAGGTAATACTGTCGATTGACTTTATGCGAAATAGTGTCAATTGACCTTATTTCCGTTGATTTTGCTACCTGTCACCGTAGATTTTTATCTGTTTAAATTTAAACATGAGCACGACCCGTACTGGGACTACTGCGGAAGTGGCGTGGAAGAAGACGTCCACCATGTATTCTTTGAGTGCCCTCGATGCAATCGGCAGATGAACCAATTGAAACTACCCGTTGGAGAGGTGTTTACGACACACAGTCAGTAGTCGTCTATACGATGAAAGGAGCCAGTGAATGGGCATTAACCAGCGACACACTCACTTCAACTTTGAAGAACTCAGGACCCTAAAAAAATAGCGACGTATATCCGCGCATTGGAACCAAACCATGATGTTCACCAAACCAAGCCCAGGCGCGGACTTGAACCTAGGCCGTTCCAGCCGTCAGAGCAGTGCGACTTTGAAATCCATGCACCCGTAGAGCAGGTGCTGTGCGGATTGGAGCCTAGGCTGTTTCAACCGCCAAGGTAGTGCGGCATTGAAACTTGTGCTTTGAGAACGCCTATTGAACACGAAATTTACCAATTAAAGCGTAATCACGAACTGGAACCTAGGCCGTTTCAGTCACCTAGACGGTGGGGTCTCGAAAATGTGTGCAATCGAAGCGTAGGCTCGGACTGCAGCGCAGCTTCGAATTTCGTACACACGAGGCTTCGGCGCGATTGGAACCTAGGCCTTCCTAACCGCAAAGGCAACTCTCCGCTTATGTAAGCCTGATCAATGAAATACCAGCGACAAAAAAGCAGCTTTAAGACATGTCATATAAGGTATTTTGTATCTAAGAGTTAAATAAATAGTTTAAAAAAGATCCTGAAAACACCACTCTGTAACGGTCAAATTGTGTGGTCACTGTTTTAGACAAGCTTCGACCATTATTTCGTCAGGGTGCGCTAAATTTCGGTGCTGTCGATGCGTTAAAACATTGAGGATACCGCATGTCCACGATTTCTCGGAGTCGGCTAGGCATTGCAAGAGTGCCGGAAGTGTAGATTCAAGAATAGAGCTCAATACTCCCCATTTTTTTCTCGTCTCTGGAGCCATGACAAGAGTCCAGGCAACACATTTGCTTATCGTGCCTTGCCATTAGATATGTTGTTTGGCGGTTCAGCATATCTGATCTCTCTTCATTGAAACCTGACCTGTACTTTATTACCTAGGATGTAAGTTAGACTGACAACCAAACGTTCATTAGTTCGATAGAGATAGATATGAATCGAAGTATGAATGAAGATAAGAGCATATGAGAACGAATAATGATACTAATGATGGCCTAACTTTGGTGTGACTTCCACCAAAACTTGACAAGGAATGAGGGAAAATTGTTCCGAAATACAGCGAGATACATTCGCTACATGCGCACAGTAGCCTGTTTAACATAGAAACTGTGGTTTTGACCGTGAAGAGCGGTCTGACTTAAGCTATGTATATCCATGTATAATAGCCGGTCTCAGAGCTTAGGTCTAACTGAAGGCTCCCCGCCAATTGAAATGCTACTGAGCCGGAGGCACCCTTACATTATGACCTTTAATGCGACTAAGTAGAAAGACACCGCAATGGTCACAGAGCTGGAAGCTGCGGTTTAGTGACAGCTCTTCTGAGCAAAACCGCAATCCTACATACCTGGTTCATCAGCTTTGAGCTATCGAGAAACTATAGCAGTAGATCTGGAAGCTATATCTGTGAAATATTAAGGTTTTTCATAATCTTGGAATGTTTTTAATAAAAAATATTTGACTATGCACTGGCTGCCGCAACATGGACTCAGATTTTTAGCGAGTCTTCTGGTAATTTTGCTGTAGTTTCTCTTATTTTCATTACCCCCTTTTTTTGACAGCCACTGCAAACAAGCGATGCTGGCAACCGCGAAATGCCACACAGCACAGTAGTAAAGGTAAAGTTTCTTTGCGTTTAAAGAAGAATGGCGGCGAAAACAACGCTGCTAAGAAATTGTGAATTGAGCAGTGTTGAAGAAAAATTTCCGCGGCGAATTGATGCTAGGTGTTGCGGCAACAGGTAAACAGCAAAACAACACACATTTTTAGGGAGAGTGAGAAAATGAGCGATGAGTAAAATCGGCGGAAAATGCATGAAAGCATTTGCTTGCAAACAAAGGCAAGGGAAATTTTGAGCCATTATAAAGAATGGTGCAAATGGGCGCTACACTCGAGCTGACTTAGAAAATCCGGTGTAGTAAATTTTTTCCAAACATATGCACACTCTATGATGACAAACGATTTGAAAACACTTCTAATGAAAATTTGTACATTTACTTATTACACCTTATTTATTATCTGTTTAGCAAAACTTCTGGTTACTTTGAACGATTTGAAGTACCTGCCCGCCCGCTTGTGCCCTTTTGTACCTTTTTCACACCATACATATGTATGTATGTATTTAGATATTTTTTCTTTTGTTCCTGTGTGCCTTTGTTGTTGCCTGCCGTGATGTCGTTGATCCTTTTTACGGTGCGCAGTTCGCCTTTTATTTCCAAACAATTTTCCCATTGATCCTTTCTTCGTCCTCATTTTTATGCACACGACATGGGTTCCCCAATTATTAGGTAACACTTACTACAATATATTTATATAGGTATATGCATGCATATTTGCATTTGCATTTTTATGATTCTCATTTGTCGATTACGTGTAACCGATGCACTGTAACCGATTAGCAACGGACATGGCATCCGTCAACTTTAGAGGTTTTTACATATGTGCGCAGACTTAGGGTAGAACTTTGGCGTGAGAAGAACAGAGATCTTGTACTTAAGTACTAGAACAGGGTATTTGAGATCAATAAATTTTTGGTACGAAAAATTTTCTCCTCAAGAACATCGATAAAACATACTTTATAATACGTCTGTTAATGCCGAAGATATGTATGAGGAAAAATTTAAAAAGTCGGCCCTAAGGTTCGGCAATAAAAAAATATTTGTTTCGAAATCGCCTTGCGAAAATACTTTACAACTCAGAGGTGTACGGCGAACATTTTTTGGTTGCTTGTAAGATGGTATGGTGAACATTTTTTGGTTGCTTGTAAGATGGTATGGTCTAATGTAGGGATGGGCANTCCCAATTATTAGGTAACACATACTACAATATATTTATATAGGTATATGCATGCATATTTTTTATTGCATTTTTATGATTCTCATTTGTCGATTACGTGTAACCGATGCACTGTAACCGATTAGCAACGGACATGGCATCCGTCAACTTTAGAGGTTTTTACATATGTGCGCAGACTTAGGGTAGAACTTTGGCGTGAGAAGAACAGAGATCTTGTACTTAAGTACTAGAACAGGGTATTTGAGATCAATAAATTTTTGGTACGAAAAATTTTCTCCTCAAGAACATCGATAAATCATACTTTATAATACGTCTGTAAATGCCGAAGATATGTATGACGAAAAATTTAAAAAGTCGGCCCTAAGGTTCGGCCATAAAAAAATATTTGTTTCGAAATCGCCTTGCGAAAATACTTTACAACTCAGAGGTGTACGGCGAACATTTTTTGGTTGCTTGTAAGATGGTATGGTGAACATTTTTTGGTTGCTTGTAAGATGGTATGGTCTAATGTAGGGATGGGCAGATTTTTGGCTCTTAAAGCATTCAAAGAGCCAGCAAGAGGTAAATCAGTTCTCAGGATAAAGGGGGTGTACAAAATACATTAAAAACATCATATATATTAGTAGTAATGAGAGTCGGAATACAAGAAATTTGAATACGCACTTGTTCCCCCTTCATGCTGGCTTTGGATGTTACCCCACATCTACCATCTAAATGTGCCAAGCCGGCTCCTAAGTCCAAACGGCTCATGGTAGCCACATTGCCCATCTATGTACAAGGGATAATGCCTGCCAATACTGAATGGCTGTCCCTTTTGCTCATGACCATCNCCCCAATTATTAGGTAACACTTACTACAATATATTTATATAGGTATATGCATGCATATTTGCATTTGCATTTTTATGATTCTCATTTGTCGATTACGTGTAACCGATGCACTGTAACCGATTAGCAACGGACATGGCATCCGTCAACTTTAGAGGTTTTTACATATGTGCGCAGACTTAGGGTAGAACTTTGGCGTGAGAAGAACAGAGATCTTGTACTTAAGTACTAGAACAGGGTATTTGAGATCAATAAATTTTTGGTACGAAAAATTTTCTCCTCAAGAACATCGATAAAACATACTTTATAATACGTCTGTAAATGCCGAAGATATGTATGAGGAAAAATTTAAAAAGTCGGCCCTAAGGTTCGGCAATAAAAAAATATTTGTTTCGAAATCGCCTTGCGAAAATACTTTACAACTCAGAGGTG